TSKTTTYMTTTTGTGTCCATTTGACTGTCACACTTAAAWAGTTAAATTTTGTTTCAYGGGCTAAAGGACCTCRCTTTAATAACTATTTCACGGTTTTCTTTTGACTTTACYCTAWTGAAAACGACTCCCACTAAYAGGKTGTAACAGTATATATCTTTCSTTTTAGGACCGATGTGAGAAACGATGTTCATCAAGAAGAGGTAATGTGATCACTATTAATTCAAGTGTTACTGATATTTGAATAAAAAAAATCTATAACATTCAATATTTAAATTATATAATCATAAATTGACTTTTTCGGAATAAGCCTTTTTCCAGTTCAATGCGAGCAACTGCTGTTTTAGTAGACAACAGACTCACTTGCGTAGAGGACAAAAGCACGAAAAAATGTTGACTTTACAATAGCTCTAGAAATTTGAATCTTCTCCGATTTGAGGCTTGCTGAGGAAGACGTTGAACCTTCTGGGAATACAGGCTTAGCGCTATTGTAATGACAACATTTTGTCGTGCTTTCTTTAGTTTTTTTGTCAGGTCTCTGCGAATGAGAGTTTTGCCAACTACATCAGCAGTTGTTCGCTTTGAATGGGAAAAAGGCGTTTTCATCCTAGTTCGTGTCAAAACCAGAAATTTTGTAATGCGACACTTGCTACAACCACCTGAACGCAGCGGCTTTCCAATGTTATTGTCATTTGTTAATGTAATTTCAAAATCAAAGATGAAAGAAAATCGCACAACATGGCTCTCGAGTACACATTGATCAAAAGCCGAATTAGACGGAAAAAACTTGCCTTTAACCATCCCATGCAACCTGCGTAAGTTATCCTTACGCCATAGCTACAACTATTGTATAGATTTAAAACGATTGCTTAATAGTTCAACGACATTTGTAGCCATATTGTAAGGATGACTTACGCAGGTTGCATGCGATGGTTGTAGGCACAATTTGTCGTCTAATTTGGCCCTGAACGGTGAAAACKTTTCAATACTTGATTTGCTCGGTACTGCCGTAAGGTACGACAACTTACTGAAAATGCACTGACATAGACATAACATGACAATGACAATGCTGTTAGCAGTTAGCCTTTACGATAAGATTGATTTACACTGTACGATTGTCGCGTGCRACTTGTAGTATACGACTCAAATAAGCTCAAAATCTCTCCGTGTTAATTTCYCTACGACTTRTCGTTGGWAAATCGTATGCTACAAGTCGTACGCGACAATCTCACCTTGTAAATCCGCCTATAACCGATAAATGACTGTAACTACTACAATCCATTCTTTAGGARAACGATGGCATTGCATACAGTAGACCAACACCGAAAAAGCTCGACCTCAGTAAGTTTTCAGCTTTCGGCGGTGGTTTGCGCGTCACAAAAGAYGACTCGACTGTGARGCGACGAGAAAAGACCCAAGRACGGCAGACTAGACCGAAAAGCATAGCGGGAACTTCATTTAAAGGCGTTGCCAATGGAGATGGGTATCAATACCGAGAATACTCAATAAACTGACGTTATAGGATTTATACTTAACATAAAAACGTAGGAATTTAATAATATGAAGACAACACCAATCGGTAATAATTTCATGAAGACTTCTTCACACGTGTAAATTAAAAAGTAAAGTCATTCCATAATTGTTTGAAAAAAATATTTTGCACAAACGTTGGATTATCGAGTTGATTAGCATTAGAATGGATCTTTATTGGTAGAGTGCAWACAGTATTCATGTGAAATAGTTGTTGTCAATTAGTATAAGAKAAAGRACAAAGGAAWACAAAGCAAATTTAGCACTCTYTTGTTAGCTACCTTAGGTGAAGTMAAAAAAAAAAMKTGAAATAGATATTACAGGTAGAGTGATCGCACTTAAACCCTGCAACTGTAGAAAAYCTAAGTAGTATTAATTTGTRCTAAAAGTGGACCTGAAGCAAGAGGGTATTGAATGSTTCATTTGTATCAATTCAATTTAATTTGCGTACCGAATGCACGATTTACTAAATGCAACTAAATAGAACTATTTAGTTTGTACAGTTGCACGGATTAAGTGCGATCACTCTATATACCTTAGTACGCTCTAGTTGCATTGTTATCATTTGTTTCTTTTTGACTATCAAACTTAAATAGTCAGGYTATTTTTTAAAGAGTTTAGTCTTTAGAAGGAAAAAAATGACTTAAAAATAGATATGCACCTTGGTATGCCCTAATTGCATTGCCTTGTCTCTAAACAATTGAAACCAAATTTGGCTATTAAAGTATGACAATCAAATAGACACAAAAGAAAACAATGCAATTAGARTGTACTATGTTGTAKTAGTGTAATATTAATTTCACGAGTTTTTCGACTTCACTTTAGCTATCTATTTCACGGGATAATTCAAAATAACCGTGAAATAGTATTTCACCAATACCCCTTAGAGTGCACTCTAATTGCATTGATATTTTTTGTTTCTTTTTGATTATCACACTTTAAATTTTGTTTCGCGGGTTTATTCTATTGTTTGGTCTCTATCACTTATATTGACCACAAGAAATCATACAAAAATAACCAGTTTTATACATGAACCACCCTTGTGAAATAGTCTAAGTATTGATAAAATTTGATAAAAACTATTTTGGTTCTAAAAGTAACACAATTGCATGCGAGTAACATACTATCATTGCCAACTGTTAGAATTGATGTTGAATTGTTCAAATTAAAATTTTCAATAAAGTCACTAAAAACCATGTCAAAAAGTAMAAAATAAACATGAGAATAACGTAGAAAACATTTCAAGGTCGTTGATTTTATCTTGTGTTCTGTYGATTAACCAGGCTTATTTCATTTGAAGTCCAATATGCAGTAGTGTGCGTTCAAATGTTATAGACCGCTTGCAGTTTGTGTGAATGCGGGTCCATATTGGGGCAAAACAATGGAATCTAGTTCCCAAGAAAAGAAAAATTAAAACAAAATAAAATAAAACAAAACAAAAAGATTAATTAGTTTGCCATCAAATAAAGCTGTTATGACGTCGCATGCAAGGGATGTAGTATGAGAGTTTTCTGAATACTGATGACGTCACAAATGATGTCACGRTGCTTTTGGTAATGCCCAAAATGGTACTAACTCTGGTAACCTAGCCTACGGAAGCTCRGATTTTTGCCTAGTTTTTGTACGTAATATAATCTTACGATGTAATGTGTAAAGATTTGATTATCGATGAAAATGCCACGCAAGGTTAGGACGTGAGGTAATTTCGAAGAAATAAATTTTCGAGATAAAGACCCTGACAGCGATTTATCATAGTCAATGGAATGGTTAAGTGGCCCGTGGGAACCAGTTCTTSTTCATTAACTCTGTATSATCTCACTCGCATATAGCGTTRCTTGGAGGTTSAAATGTTTAATGAGTCTTTATGTTAGTGGGGGGTGAGTTGGGGCAGGTTTCAGACATAGAGCTGTGGGCGCAAAAGCGCCTATTTTAGCAATATTTCTTTACAATAGGGCAATAAAATCATTTGTTTTACCATGAAAACACGAGCTTTATGATGCACTATAGTTATTGTATTAACAGCTTTTTGTGCAATGCAATTATTGATAATGTATCACAACAGGTTATCACGTCAGATGTATAGAAATTCATATCGTGCGTGCGATGTAGGATTACACCAATCTTACAATATCTGTAATCAAGATCTACTTTTCACGAAAGACACTAAAGTAATTGTAGGACTTTTAACAACCATCATTACTAATAATTTTTTTGGTGGGTAATAGAAATGTGAAGATTGGGACGTTTAATGAATTCAATATTTTCCAAGCTGTAAGTTTATATGTTGTACTTGGAGTAGTGTGGGACAGTAAGTCCAATATATCAAGAAGTTTGGCTTTCAATACATTTAATGTGACTAATCTTACAAGAATGCAATGGTAAGCTTCGAAAAAGCGAGAAACTTTTAACGTGAATGACTCAAAATATAAAAAAAAATCCTACGCAGATTTCTTTGTAATTGATCAACTGTTGACAATCAAAAGCTCGATTAGTCAATTTAGAATAAGAGGCTTGCCCACTTGAGAATAATTGTTGTAAATTGCTTTAAGTAAAACCGCCAATATGTCACGAATATTAATTTKAAACTTGACTCACTGTCGTTTAATCAAAAGTAAATTAAAATTGGCTTTAGATCTTAAATAAATGCCTATACTCTTTTGATTGTTGCCGTTTTCTCCTTTGCTAAATGTGGTTAAGGTAGTGCCCAAAAAAACGCAAAAACGTAAAATGAAACAATTGCTTTCTTTAGTTTCATCGTCTCATTTTCTTACATATTTCTTTATATGTATCTATCGCTTAAAAAGCTGGAGACCAYATAATTGCCGTTATCAAARTGGCTTCGTTYCTGAAATGTTGTCAAATCGAGTTTGCACGACCTAAAAGGACAAAAGGGTACGACAATGAAAGTACGGTCAGAGAAAAAAGGCCATCTCTAGCGATCCTACGGAGTTGTAACTGTAGTACTGAGAAAAGAGACATTATTAAAGATAACATAATAGTGTGGCTTTTCGYGAAGCATTATGCGTACGTTTTAGCTCATGAAGTCATGCGTTTAAGRTGACGTTCTTCTCTAAAGAGTAATGTTGCTGGAATTTCTTATCAAAGCAATTATTYCTTGTGCTTCCTTGTGCTATGACTTGCAGATGTGCAGATGACTTCGATTCGGATTTTTATTTGTAATGGTAAATTTGATGGAACTTACGAACAAATAGAACTTAGAATAAAAATCATGCAAGGAATATTAAGACCTGCAGTGGAGAAATAACAAATCATTGTAAACTAAACCTGTAACTGAGCTTCGATAAAAAAGCAAAATAGCATTCAATCTAACAAATGCTTTTCCAATATGAGTAAAAATTCTAATCATGCAGGACATCATGATTACGGTTTTTTTTTTTTATTTTTTAACAGTTTAAAAACTGATTCCCTTTGTGCTATACAGCTGATATCAGATCATTGCAGAGTCAAGGCACAGTGCCTAACACTCAATGAAGTCAATGAATGATAGATTGCAATAGCGAGGAAAGCACTTATAAAAGCTGTAAGAGGATAGGCACGAGCCATGCCACTATATTAAATATATACAATACTTTTTTGAACTTTTTGGATCCAATACTATTAAAATTTCATTAAAGTTAAATGAAGTAAGGTACTTGATGATCATATCTGTATCCATAGCAACTCTATGTAATGTGGATGACTGACTTTAAAACAAATGTCAGACAAACAAAAACAACATGCCCTGCAGCGTATTTAGAAAGACACAGTTTTTCACAGCAAAACAGAGGGATAACCAGCGAGATTTGTGCCACGATTAATACAGTTAATATTAAATTCTGATAGCAAAAGTATCGAAAGAAAGAAAACAATTATAAGTTTTAAAGTGCTACTTAGAAGTCATATTGACTATGCTGAGATTTTTTAAAACCTGTCAAAGTGTACAAGGCATTTGAATAAATTTTGCAGTAACAGCAAAGCAAAAACTAGCTGTGTAAGCTCGTATAACAGTTCTCTCCCTAAGCTGTGTCATCATTTTTTGAGAGGTCAATTGCAGAGATAAATTACCTGTCACCAAAACGGACCAAAGATGGCAAATACTACTTCGTTATGCATGGGAAACTGTATGGATAAGTCCAAATTCATTCCAAAACGTCATGAAAACCCAAAAGAAATCGAATCWCACAATTCAAATTCTCGTTTCAAGACACCTCGCTACATAGCTTGACATCTCAAAGGACTCTCCTTCACACGATTTTTGTGGAATCATATTTGTATCTGGAAAGGACTAGAGTATGAACCGACTTGTGTAAAAAAAATGCAAATAGCTTTCTTTAAGCCTTCCAATAGATATATAGATCACCTCATTGCCACGAGTCATTGGGCATYCGAATAGTCGCGTAAGAACTTGAAGTGTTGGGATACAAGACAATTGTTGGCGCAAGCAACAAGTTGGATGTCCATACCAAGTAAGTTACATTTTTATATTTTCTTAAATTCTTAAGTACAAAAATCTAGAGAGTGACTATGTTATATTATTGCAAGAAGCCTTTACAAAAACATTACCTAAGCTTTTGGAGCTATAATTTTCCAATTATTGTACTATATAGAGTACAATATTCCTTTGCAAGTYTACCAATTCATGACCCTTTACAAACATCCAAACATTGTTTGCCAGTGTACAAGTACAGGTGTAGGCGCTGTTGTCGAAAGAATTTGCTCTATCAGTTAAACAAATATATAATATTTCAATTTAATAAAGCACATAACGTAAATTCATTTTGAAAATTTTGTTTAAGAGGATTTTTAACTTTTGAAAAAATTGTCAGCATCGACAAAAACTTCTTATGCATCATATTGATCTTTGATTTCGGATTTTTAAAAGAAATTAGATTGAAAATTTAAGGACACCTCAGTAGTAAGGAAATCCCTCTACAAACGTCAGTACAGAAATAACAATGAGCAACAAAGTTCAAATATATAATATTATTGAAATAATTCTCGCTGTTTGGAGCTCTCTCTGATGGAAACACCACAATTGTCTATGGGTAATAACAAAATTTGACTATAAAATTGTTTGAGCCATTCATACTCTGCTTTCGATACAAGTTCGTTTTATTTGTTCGCGTAAAAAAAGTATATAATGACCTCACGACTAGATTGTTTGTAATATGACGCCACAGAACATTCTAGGAACTCACTGATAATTGATTAATTGAAATACTTTCCCTATAGAGAAATTTGGTCAAGAAAGAATGTTTTAAATACAGTAGTAGATAAAATTAAAATGCCAATTTTTTGTCAATTCATCTCATAGGCTTGATTCGTTATTTTGAAAGGAAGTAATTGTAATACAGGCAATTGTCTGCATGACTGATTCTCTCAACCAATACAGTAATGCAGTAATATATTGAACGGCAGAGAGTTATATTCCATTTTGTTGTCGGACAAAGTCTGATTTGTGCCAGTTCTCGAAAGACAAAATTGTTCGTCATTTCTCTTCAGATTCTTTGGGAATAGCCATGCGCAACTAATAGCCATAATTAATCACGTATGACTATATAGATGAGAATATATTATTATTAATAGTATTCAACCAAAACTAAGGAAAAAAACCCTTAATTTTACTTTAATTCTAATCACAGTTCATCATATTCAAATATATAGCCTCACGTCAAATGGAATTCACTCAATTTATAACAACTGTTAGCGTGTGTAAAATAATAAAACATTGAAGCGGAGAAGACATATCCTGTGATTTGTAACTTAGTGCCATTCCGATCATGCAAACAATTGTCAATGAAAGTAACTTCAATTGTAACTTTAGCCAGAGTATTTTTATATGTTAAAATCTCATTAGAGTGAAGGCAATGAACCCGTGAAATAAAAGTAAATACTTAAACTGTAATAGTCAAATAGACACAAAAGAAAACAATGGAATTATCAAGTAATAACATGTAATAGTGAAATATGTATTTCACGGGTTCATTGACTTCACTCTATCATATTAATTCATTATATTACTGTTGTAATAGTTGTATTACATGTACACTTTTGGTTTGCGATTCATTGTTTAATTAGGGTTTTTCAATGGAGAACAGTATTGTTAACATTCATAAAGGCCAAAATCTTTTCAGGCCTCTCATTCCGATTGGATACTGTGTCACAGACTGTGATTCTGTGCTTATGGAATCACAAACATAATTTTCCTAGCACTGATAACAAATCTTCAAAAATTCCGA